CTGGCATGTGGTGCTAGGGGATCGAACCGCGGTCCCTGTGCTTTGCCAAGCTTGTTCCAAGTAGGTGCTTTAGACCACTGAGCCATCTCTCCAGCCCCTTTCTTAGAGAATTTTGACTTCACTTAGAATAGGATTTGATAGAGCCCTGGAGGGACTGAAGCCTAACTTTCCCAGCAGCCTCACCACTGTTCTTGAAAACTGAAGATATCGCTCCTAGTTACCATCTATGTTAAGCTTCTATACTAAAAATATTCAGAACCCATGGAGCCAAGTATTTTTTATCTGTTTTTCTAAAATGGGCATGAAGTAGTACTTGCTTCAGCAGCACATATACTAAAAAAAAATGGAAACAAAATGTGCATGAAGGGGGTGTTTTCCACACAGGTTATTCATGCACCACTCTTAGGGTTTTTGCCAAATCCATGTACTACCAGCTGTCTCCTTTAATTAACATTTTTATTATTTAAATTGACTTTAAGTCTCATTTGTGTTTTTATTTTTCCCTTGATACTAGGGATTGAACTCAGAGCCTTACACATGCTATAAGCGTTGTTTTTGCTTTTAGTGTCATTTTAAGAGGTTTATCTATGAAGCCCCAAGTTCATATGCAGGCCAGTTTTTTCCTTGTAAATACTAAACTATTAAAAAGGTCTATCCATGTGCCATCTAAAATTTCTCATGGGTAGAGAAGCACTTTATTAAAGTAGCAAATACATTTTAAATATCAAAAATGTGTCCATGCATGGTAGTGCACACCCATAATCCCAGCACTTGGGAGACTAAGGCAGTAGATTTACTGAGTTTAAGGCCAGCCTGAACAATACAGCAAGACCCTCTCTCAAAATTAAATAAGTAAATATCAAAAACTTGCAGAGGTAGCAACAGAAAAATAATCTGCATATTGCTCTGCCTTTCTCTGCTTGTGTTCTCCTCAGATGCCGTCATGGCCCCTTGGGAAAGTGTGTGCACTGTGTCCCGCTAGAGGTAAGTTCTCAGTTGGCCAGCATGGTCAGCTGCTGGTAACAGAACTGTGCAAGCGCTTTGAGTCCCTATATTTGAATGTCTAGTTAAACAACTTATCTATTTATTGCCCTGGGCCTCATAGTGCCACTAGTGCAAGTGGCATAAAGAGAGCCAGCCTTTATTTACGGGAGTGACCTTCTGGGAAGATTATGAATGACTGAAGTGTTCGTGTTGCTGTGATGAGGGAACAACATGTACAGTGGGCTCCCTGGACAGTCCTTTTAAAATTCTGACACAGAGCAGGGCCTGTTGGCTGGTACTCATCATTGTTTTGATTTACTGTGCCCTGAATCCTGCTTGCTCTGCTGCTTTGCCCTAGTGCAATTGAAGTTACTGTGACAATGCTGACTGGTAGCGGGGAAACTGAGCTCATGGCAGCAAGGCCAATCTGATTTTCATTTCCATGAGGCCCCTCTGACCTCATTTGTACTTTTTTTTTTGGTGTTGCTGTGATGAGGTTGAATGTAGGGCCCCCCAACCCATGCAAGGCAAGTGCTCCATTACTTTGTTTCTAGCACTTTGTGGCATGACTTTCTGCAAAATTTTCCTGGCACTTAATTTGGTTTACGAGCATTTAGTGTTTTATTCATTTGAAAATGAAATGATAATTGAGAAACAGAGAATGTGGTTCTGGTTTAGAACAAGTTGAGCTGGGTTAAGCCTGGATCTCATCTCATGTGTGCTTTGCCTGGGCACACCTTGAAGACTGCACTGCCTGGGCTGTCACCCTGCACAGTAGAAACCCTGTGCCTTGTGGGCCCCATAGGCACATGACCACTTGCTCTTCATGTGTTTTGGCAGCCATTTGATGAGGACTACCTGAACCACCTGGAGCCTCCTGTGAAGCACATGTCCTTCCATGCCTATATCCGGAAGCTGACTGGAGGGGCTGACAAGTAAGCTGCTGCAAGTGGCCTAGGCACACATGAACTGTGTTGCTTAAGCTAGGCACAGAACAGTCAGATGTTGAACTTTGCTGAATTAGAAAAGGGGGAGTTAATCCAAACACTCAGGAGACTGAGGCAGGAGGATCATTACAAGTTTAAGATTAGGGCTGGTGAGATGGCTCAGTGGTCTAAAGCACCTACTTCGAACAAGCTTAGCAAAGCACAGGGACCACGGTTCAGTCCCCCAGCACCTCATGCCAGCCAGCCCTGCCCCCAGGTGGGCTGAGCTGGCCACACACACACACAAATAAATAAATAATTAAAAAAAAAAAACAAGTTTAAGACACAGCCTGGGCTATAAAGTGAACTCAAGGCCTCCTGAACTGCACAGCAAGACCCTATCTCAAACAAACAAAAAGAAGGTGGAGAATTCATGGGAGTTAGCCTGGTGCATGTCCATAGTGCGCAGAGCTGGGGCAGATGCTCAGATGGATCCTGCCACTGCCTCATGATTCTTCCAGCTCAGCCATTTTAGCCCTGGTGGGCACTTTGCCCAGGACCTTGCCTGTTAATCAGTTTTGATTTCATAGCCATCATAGTAGCTGAAGTATAAACCTTCCATGGGTTGCATTCTAGTGCTTCAGTGCTTATGTCCTATAGTCAGGCAAACAGCCTTCTCTCAGCTTCTGAGGGTGGATGGTAGCAATGGCCACAAAGGGCAAAATGCGAGCATTTTTATTTCTTTAACCTATATAGTGCTCATCTGTGCACATACTCTGTGTGTACCTTGCTAGAGTGAGAGACCTCAGCTATAGTTCTCTAAGTCCTGTTAGTATGATAAATGGAGATAGCAGCTGAGCCCAAGTCAGCAACATTTTGTGAAGAATATCACATTCTCCTGATTGTAGCTTTTCCTTGACAACCTGCTGACATTAAAAATGAGTTTTCAAAAAGTGTTAGACCTGACCAAAAATCTCCACCAGAAACCTAGTCTTTCATGTGAGCAGGAAAAGATATACTGCTCTCTGGTCTAGGGAACGAGGGAGATAGAATGGAGAGAAGGGAGTCTGGTCAGCCTTTGTCAGCTTGGGTCAAAGAATATAGTCTGTGTTGGGCAGTGTGCAGGCCTGGCAGTAGTGCCGTTGCCTATTAGGTGCGCAGAAAGAAACCAGTGTATCCTTAGCTTGTGAAAACACAGTGGTTAGTGTGTGAGGCAGTATGTGTATCTTTTAGCTCAGGTTTTGCCATTCCTCAGTGTAAATGTATTTCATTCAAAACATCTTGAACACAGTCCTGGGGGAGATAGCTCAATAAGCGCTATAGAATAAGCGCTTGCCTGGCAAATGCAGGGTCCTGAGTTTAATCCCCAGTACTACAAAAGAAAAACGAAACAAAACAAAAAAAACACTTGAGCAGCTGGATGCTGGTGTAATTCTGGCTCCTTGAGAAGTTGAGGAAGTAAGATTACAGGTTCAAGGCCAGCCTGGGCAATTTAGCAAGATCTTGTCTATATATAAAAAGGGCTGAAAATGTAGCTCAGTGGTACAGTGCTTATCCAGCATGTTTGAAGCCCCAGGTTTAAGTCTGTAGTATTGCAAACAAAAATAAAATTTCATAAGCACCAAAAACATGCTCAGTTTTTATTTTCAAAGCAAAGAAAAAAAGAAAAAGCAAAAATAAAAAGCCTACTTGCAGACCTTAAATCTGTATAATTATTTGTCAGTTATAGCTCAGTGATGTTGCAGAAAAGGGGAAATAAAATGGAATTACCAGACTATTTTGTGAATGAAGAAACTGATATCCCTTGTATAGATTTATCCCAAGTTCAGAGCAAGGCCCAAGACTTTCTTCTTGACAGTTGTTACAAGTTGTCTACTGTGTGTGTGTGTGTGTGTGTGTGTGTGTGTGTGTGTTTTAGCTAAAAGCAGAATGAAGATAGCACCATTACATATTCTAGTTAGGTTTTTTTCTGTTCAGTAAGATTTTTTTTTTTTACAAATGTGTAAGAACTGGGCTGCTAAAGTCATAGTTGTTAATGTAATTGTCAAAACCTCTTCTGAGTGGCATTGGTTCAATTGATAAGTATTTAGTAGTTTTCTTGAAAACCTCATAAATCCACAGGTACAGCTGGAAATAAAATTCACATTTCTGTGTGGAGAGCTTTGTCCCAGCACAGGACAGAAGCTGGACTTCTGAATGGTGATAGAGTCCTGCCAGGGTGATTTTAGCACACTTGCCTCTATGCTAAGCCCCTTGACGCCTGCCAAGGTGGGGTGTATGCTTGGCACATCCCTCCATCTCCTCCCAGACTTCTCACTGTCATGTGTGCTTAATTGCTTTTCTTTTCCCTCAGAGGGAAGTTCGTTGCCTTGGAGAACATCAGCTGCAAGATTAAGTCAGGGTGTGAGGGACATCTCCCATGGCCCAATGGCATCTGCACAAAGTGCCAGCCCAGTGCTATCACGTTGAATAGACAGGTAAGATAGCTTGGGTCTGCCTGAGAGGTGGATGTTCTGTTGGAGAGAGCCGCCTTCAGCAGAGTGGTATGCATGGCAGAATCCCAGGTGTTTTCTGATCCATCACCTGGTACTGAAGTAATTTGTAAAATGTTTAGCTCTTGTTGGTATGGTATAGGAACTTTGGTTCCTTTTTTGTCTGTTTGTATCCAAGCAGAATTTTCTTGATGATTTAAGTGCTCTGTAGTGTATTTTGTCTTTTTTGTTGTTGTTATTGTCAGTACTGGATATTGAATCCAGGGCCTTTGCACTGAGCTATAGTCCTACTCACAAAAATAAACTTTTCTGGACACTGATGATGGAGCCTTTCATGAGCATATTGCTTTGGAGGAAAAGGGAGTCTATCCTCATTGCTGCTTCTCTGAGAGCAGTGTACCCCAGCATTGTTCTGCTGTCACCTAGCCACATCTAACTTCTCACAGCTTACTAAACATCTTCAGCCATCCCCTCTCTCTGTTCATTTGCTCCTTCCTGAAAACTGCTTTTTTGTGCTAGAGATTGTGAAAACTACCTCCTAAAAGAATCTTTTCGTGTAGCCCACTGTTGTTAACTCTACAGAAATACAGACATGTGGACAACATCATGTTTGAGAATCACACCGTTGCAGACCGCTTCCTCGACTTCTGGAGGAAGACAGGGAACCAGCATTTTGGGTACTTGTATGGACGGTACACGGAGCACAAAGACATTCCTCTTGGCATCAGGGCCGAAGTGGCTGCAATTTATGAACCACCTCAGGTACATCTATTTTGGATTTATAGTTATTCTATAACTGTATTCTTTTGTTTTGAAGGCTCTGTGGGATACATCTTTTGTTTGCTTCATCATTTGTGTGCCTTCTGTCTTTCTATATATACAAATACACTTGTACATACACATGAATGTATACAATATTAATTTTCTGAATTCCTGGAGAGTAGTAAGATCCTGGCCCTACTATCTTGATGTATATATTCTAAGAGTATAAATATTCTCTGACATGCTAGTACATTTATTGACCTAAGGAAGTGAAACACATTCAGACTCAGCACCTGAAGCTGCAATCTGAGTTCTGGTCTTGCACTTGGGTCAAGTACTTTAGAACGTTGGCTTCAGTTCTTATTTGTAGTTCTGTGTTTTCCACCTTGTGAGTGACATCTGTTCTAAGAGCTACAGAAATCGTAGAATGTAAATACCATATATTGACTCAGGCTATATACCATCCAATCTCAATAACAAAAATAGCTAGAACTATCACCAAAATAGGGTTGTAAATGGTAAAAAGTTTCAATAAGGCAAAGATATATTCTTCTGGGGTCACAGTTACTGCTTTAGAGCTACTGAAAGGTAAGGTGTGGTGGCCTATGCCTGTAATCCAAGCATTTAGGAGGCGGAGATAGAAGGATCACCATGAGTTTGAGGCCAGCCTGAACTACATAGTAAGACCCTGTCTCGGGAAAAAAGCTACTGAAAGATTCTGTGATAGGGGGCCGGG